CAAAGGCATTGCCTACTACCCTAAATATACTGAACTATACTGAACTATTTCAAGCACCTGAATCCGACCGCAGCAACAGAAGAAGATTTTCGATTCCCGAATGTCAAGAAAGTAGGTCCATGCTCACCTGAACTCTCGCGTTAGAACCAGTGGAAGTTGAAAGCACAGTGGAGGGCGAGTAATTGAGCCAAGTATTGTGGTAGATTCAAGTCCACAGGATACCGCCTGACCACGCGCGGTCACAATGCATGTACTAATAGCAGGGTTGTGTGCTATTGCTCCTTCCGGGTGTAACGCCACTGCAGACTGCAAATAAACAAATTAAAAACGATGATCGAGTGTGTGGGCTGCCGCTGCCTGTAAAGGTTACTGCATACATATGGCTTCTGTGTATAACTGACGGCATAAGTGATAAGAAGTAATAAAGAAAAATAAAAATGATCAGGACAAGTCAAGACACGTGGAATATTTGGGTTGTTAATTATTAGCTGGAAACATTAATTAAAAGGTCGAAGTGCCTTTTCAGGAGAAGCTATCAACTCTGTGCACGGCCTTGGAACTACCAGCCAGAGCCCAAAGAAGCGGTGGCATAGTAACCAGCAATCAGACAGCATCCATAAGAGATAGGGAGATTGGTATGGCTATCACTAACCAATTCTGTTTTCCCCAGCCATTCACCAAAAAGCGGATAGAATGACAGATTAGAAACCACTGAGTACAACGTACAGATCTGTAAGCAGCGAATCCACATCGCTTGAGCCGTTTGCGTTTGCCGGATTTTCGTACTCCACTTGCAAACCCAGAAGCTTTCGGAAGTCATCTTGAACCGTAGTTGAGAGACGCTAAAGCGAAACAAGGGAATATAGGGCTCATTGTTTTGCCTAATTGCCTTTATAGTTTATCAAAAACGATTAAATGTCTTGCAGGTAGCTGGGCTGCAGGTGTTAGATGAAAACAAAGGCCCGCCAACTGGCCGGCCGCTGTGAGATTGTCTACCTCTAACAAACCACTGCAAAATTATAAGCAGGTAAACTGATGGCAGTCTCTAGTTAGACCAAGTCACCTGAACTGCCCGACAAAATCTGCTTTTCATATGGAATAGATGAAAAAATAAAAGATGGAGTGACCGAATTCCAGGATATTCTACTCCTACCTAGGCATTCAGACGATGTACTGACGGAAGAGAATATTTCCTTGAAAAGGAGTTTGGGTTGGGTAAAACATATGGCCAATATCATAATTACATGCTGTTTTAAAACGAATTACTAATGCGTCTTCACAAGCCGGTCTTCGGAAGGTCAAACATATGCTCAAGATTGTAATCGTGCGCTCAAGGGGACACTAGTCCAGAAAAACACTGACCATTTGGAATTTTCTGTAAACCGGACTTATCCTTCACCGTTCCTAGTCGCTCGCTGCAGCCGAAGCACTCTAGAGATACCATGAGGTCGGTCATCAGCAGAAAAACTCAATCGTCCCATAAGTCCCAGCGTGTCGGAAAAACTCCTGAAGCCACTGAGTAGGCATTTAATACAGAGCATACTTCATATCACAGGGCTGTCTACTTCGACGAACTTCCCTTGATCTAGTAGGCGTTTGGTTAAGCAGCTTATATTATGCCACGTCCTCGAAAAGTTTATGCCGTCGTGTAAAAAGTAGGGATTGGAATTCAAATTTCAAAAAGAATTGAGCTCATCGAATTTTTTAAGTTGTAATAAAACTATGGGCTCAGACGTCAAGGAGTCAATTATCATCGGGTTTCAGGCTGTTAAATTTGATTCATTGTAAACTCTGAGCTAAAGAAATACTTCTTGTCAAAGGAGTCCAAGCTATTTGAGTAAATTGCCAACACCTCATCTCCGGCTAATGGGCATTGTCCTGTACACTTCTGGTGGTTCAGCTAGACTGTGCAGAATATACTAGAGGCTTCACTGATATGCACTCCACAAGCCATCAGTTCCAACGGCCCCTATGCATATGTATGTCTCCACTGGCTGCTCAGAATGAGAGCACACCAGTCGAATGAGTCAAAAATCCTTAAATGTGACACGGTAATAAACGACAACGTCGCTTACAAATAAAAAAATAGAGAAGGCCGATATTTCTGTCCCAACCCTCCCGGCTGCCGAATGGACAGCAATGGCTGCCAAACTTCGAGAAACGGATTTGTCGGCGTTTACAGTATCGATATGGGGGACTGATAATTTACTCACACAGAGCGCCACCTGCCACGCAAAATAACTTCCTACAGACACTGTAGCTGCTGTGGCCCAATAGAATTCATTTAGTGATTGACTGGTCGTATACAGCTTTCCATGCCTTTGACAAACTATTGATATGCAGTCCTTGCGAGTTTCTGTACAAACAACAGCTTCATCTAGTGTTGTATAGACTTGCAAATATCGGAAATGGTCTGTTCAATCACAATTTTGACAATTTTGAATGAATATCCAACAGCGTACTGTACTTGTCAGTTGGTTTTCAGATGAACATGGCTAGGAACCAGACACAGGAAGCATGTACTTTTCGGGAATTTGGAGAGCGCGCACACAGACAACGTAGAAGTTAAAACCTACCTGCATCTGTGAAAATTCATTCGCGTAATGGTTGTCAAACACTAGCCTAGAATTCGAATCGACTAGAGTAAGAAGATGAAATGGCGAACATACGTTTGTTTTCGATAATTCTCATCAGGC